TTTTTCTTGGGTGATTCTGTTATTTCTTGGAGTTCAAAGAAACAGTCCATTGTTACTCTCTCGACTTGTGAAGCCGAATATATAGCAGCAACATCATGTACCTGTCATGCTATTTGGCTAAGGAGATTATTAAAGGAGCTCAATTTGCCACAAATGGAAGCTACAGAGATTTGTATTGATAACAAATCAGCACAGGCACTCGCGAAGAATCCAGTGTATCATGATAGAAGCAAACATATAGATACAAGGTATCACTTTATCAGAGAGTGCATTGCCAATAAGGAAGTCGAGCTTAAATATGTGAAGTCTCAAGATCAAGTTGCAGACATTTTTACAAAGCCTCTCAAGTTTGAAGATTTTCGGAGATTGAGAACAAGACTTGGACTGAAGAAGAAAAATCAAAATTAAGGGAGAGATTTGTGGGGTCCATACCTCACTTACTAAAGGAAATAAGATAGAAAAGTTGGAGAGGACAAAATAAGCTGCTTGAAAAATTATTTATGGGCGGCTGATCAAGATTTCAATTTGCAATGCAAAAGTCAATTTTGTTTGGCTAGAGGGTGACTATTTTACCTATAAATAGAGATGTTTCCCTCTCGGTTTAAACACACCGAAATAAGAGAGAAACAATAGAAGTTAGAGAGAGTAATCCACAGATTGTTGTCTGTGAGATAACTAGTGAGTGGTAGTAATATTGTAGTGATGTGTTTTATATAAAGAGTGTTATTTCTTTCAAAGTTGTAGTAGTCTCTTGACACTACTGAGTTGTAATATTATAGTGGTAATATTGCTACACTCGGACATTGTATTTTATCCCGCTAAAATATTTGGTGTCATTGTTACTCTCTTGTGTTATTATTATTTGCTGTGGATATTATTCCTGGGCGGGATTATTTATTTTATCCCAACAAGGGGCTTAAACGTGACTGAGTAAGCATCAGACTTATTTGACATATAATGAAGTAACTTTTCTCTTGCCATTCTCATAAGTGGAGACCAAGGATTTTGTGCTAGCGGGTTCAATCTTAGAAGTACATAACTTTAGTCGCAAAATAATTCAATTTGGTTCAAATAAAATATTTATAAAAAATTTACATTGCTTTAATCGTAATTTATAAATATACACAGTATTATTTTTTGGTAAAGCGGGTTCAGTTGAACCCGCCGCCACGTGCGTCCGCCACTAATTCTCATTATATATGGTAGGAGCTGATAGCACCAGAGAGCCGGACGTTTTGTGTGATATATGAGAATTGAAGTTATTTATTTCTCGCCACTGGACAGCTTAGTAAAATAGCAAAAGGAGCAACAAAATAGCTCTTGTTCATATATATGTTTGAAAACAAGTAAGAAACAAATAAAGAACGACGATACCTAAAGCCGCCTAGCAGTAAAACAAAACCTCAATTCCAAAGTACTAAGGTAAGAAGAAACCTTTGCACTACAGCTCAACATCTTTTGTAAACATTATTCATATCTCATTTATGTAACTATGACTTTTTTTCGCCAAGTCCAATAATTATGTTTTCTCACACTTCACCAACTCACACAAAAATTATTATTTATTAAACTTAAAATTAAAAAAAACATGGAATAAGAAAAACTACCGAAAAGTTGTATTATTCCATCACTATAATTTTTTTTGTGATTTACTGAAAGTTTTATAATTTTTATGCGAGATAACATAGTTATATGACTTTGGTGGAAAAAAAAATCACAGTTATATGAATAATTTGTGAAATTTACTCTATGAATGACACTCGAGCATAATTTCAACTAAAAAATAGCAAGTATCAATTTTCAGGGGCATGAGATAAAAACATCCGCAACTTGTATTTGTGACTCCACCTTTTTGTTGGATCTTCCTCTACGTCAGTGGCGGAGCTAAAGGGAGCCAAGGGGCCGAAATCTGTAAAATTGTACTGCGTTAAAGCAAAATTTGTTGGTTATGTATGAACTGTTGAATCCCCTCCCCTCAACAAAAGAAAACATTATTGTAGTACAGTGGTAAATGATGATCAAATCCTAGGTGTGACGCTCTAATATTTTTCAATTCCCTTGTATGAATTTCTCTTCGCTACTGCTCCCACGAATTCCTTCTTGGTTGCAGCCTTAGACTTTTATTTATATCTTTGGAGGTTGATTGGCATCTCTACCATGACTTTGTTTCTATCTACGGCCTATGTGATGAGAGCCACACTTTTCATCTTTCTATTGTAGGAAACCCCTGTGTTCAAAGTTGTTTTCACACATTCATTATATATATATATTATAAGTATGAAGACCCAAATTAAAACTTAAAAGACCGAAATAACCTTATAAAAGTGAATGACTGTAATACCCTTCAATATAATATTATTTCAGATATAAATTTGTACAACGATGTAAAGATATATTCTAAGAAAATTAATAAAAATAATATTTAAATTGAAATAAGGACAGCCCTTTGACCTTCACCATTAAAAAGAATCCTCCTATAAAATGTTAATAAATAATAGCGCAGTTACATGAATAATGTGGTTAATTGGGCATCCTACTAAATGGTGAATTACAACTGCACATGAATTTGCTGTTTATTTTGTAAACCATAAAGTTTAAACGTTAATTCCCTTGTATTTTCTACTCCATTTGTTTTTGCTGCTAAATAATGACCTAATAAGAATCATTTGCTGGTTTATTGGTTAGCTTTCATTCGTCAAAAATTAATTTCTTCTAACCTTCTATGCATGTATCACCATTTAAGAGCTGGCTTTTACAATTTCATAATCGGTTTACAGAAAAAACATATTAGCAAACATAATTACATTAACTAATGTTCTCTTTATTGCTATTAAATATTTATAGAATTTGAGGAGTTGCTTTGAATATTTTGTTTGCCTAATTTTGTTCACCAACTTACTCATTTGCACTGCTCTCATTTTCTTTCTAAATTCCATTCATTCAAGATGATTTTCGGTTCAAGTTTTGATAGAAATTTCTCACTCTTTTCTTCTCTTCTTCTTATTTCTATTTTCAAATTTTAATTTGAAATTGTGTGATATTATTTTTCCTAATTTTGTTTCCCTACTTCTACAGAAGCATTGAGCAAAAGACGAGCTAAAGCATTTAGCTCCAACGCCAAGCAGAAACGTCAAACATTCAAAAATATATTTTTCTTGAGAATTGCAAGAGATTTAACTATCGGTGAGCAATCCATACTATTTTGCAAAAGGTAAAAATGAGTTTCATGTTTTGAGATGCAAATTTAATTCCTGCAGTGCATCACGAGCTATCTATTTACGTTGATTGTTCCATTAACTTTTTCAAGATATAATACTAAAAGTTTCTCAATTAGTTGAAATTAAAGGAACATTTCGAAGTAAGATAACTTGAACTCCTAGAAAATACATGTCTTTATGAATGATTGTATTACCAGTAAAAAATTTAAGATATTCTATCTTTTTATTTTTGTTATCAAAATCATTGTGCGCCTCCCTAAAAGGAAGCATTAGGGAGGCATTTTGGTCCCTCTTCAATGCTCAAAATGGCAGCGGGGACTTGACAAATATCTAATACACTTCCTCACTCTCGGTTGGAAGTCGAATACAAAATTTACTTTTTGCAATTTTATAAACTTTCCTATTCAATTATCATTTGTGAGCTAAATAGGATCATATTTATAATTTTTTTAATAATGTAAACTTTTATTTTTAATTTTATTTTTCTAACTCAATATTCTTTTTATACTCATCAATATGGATTACATGCGTAACGCGCGTACCCAAAAACTTATATATATACGTACACTAGTAAGTTCATCTTGCAAATAGGAAAAATATCCTCAATGATTTAATTAAATATACTTGAACCATAAAAGAACTGCATTTCCTCATAATAGACTGCTCAATTTCCATCTTTTTACATAAGGGAGTTGTTGAAATCAGAAGTGCAAATTCACATATTTCATGGTTACTATCTTATTGTATTCGATTTTCACCAAACATTTCCTCAAGTTACCTCTTTCACTAAGAATACGAGGAAAATAAACCATGCTTTTATTCCAAAACGTTGTACAAAGCTAAAATTATGGTTTATATTACGTTTTCTATTCTCATATTACCAAGGTTTGCCATTAACTAAAATGACAAAATTAACCAAAAAACGTGGTAGGCAGGATTCGAACCTGCGCGGGCAAAGCCCACATGATTTCTAGTCATGCCCGATAACCACTCCGGCACGACCACTTGATCTTCATAAGCCCGAGAGTTTAAGATTTATACGATTAAATTAAAAATGAAAGACTGATTTCTGATTTCACTTTATCTTCACCAATTCTCTTTCGAGTGTTCGAACTTCTTCAGTCTTTCAATTTTTGCCATGCTCAGGTTCAACTCATTGAAGCTGCCAATTCTTGTCTAGTTCTTTCTTCAGTTCAAACCAATTGTATTTAATATCTCATAGCTTCGCAGGGTAAAATCTTGGACGATGTCGTGTATGTGACTCTCATCAGTCACTGAAGCTTTTTGACCGAAAAGTAAAACCTGGGTATTCTCTATTTTCAGTTTTCTTTATCAATTTTCGCTTAAAGTTACAATCTTTATGTACTTCAAGGCATTTTCTGACAAAGAAAAGTATTAATTTGAAGCTTTTGAACCACGTATTTTATTGCTCTGAAGCTTTTTGACTGAAAAATAAAACCTGGGTATTCTCTCAGCTTAAAGTTGGAATCTTTATGTACTTCAAGGTATTTTCTTGAAAAATTAGTAATTAATTTGAAGCTTCTGAACAATGTGTTTGATGATTTGCAGGCATAATTTTGTGTGTTTATTGGTAAGATGGCTTTGACATTCCTTAGAGGGATACAACTTAATCCTTCTATGTTATACCCATCTTCATATTTTGCAAGAAAACATGGTGTTTTGTTTTGTTGTATGAGAAGTGCACAAATACAAACTGCAACCCAAGAAAAGGAACAGCCCAAATTGAAAGTTTCCACACAAAACCAATCCAAAACAGTTGATAAAATTCTGAAAGACTATGAGGCAGTTATAGGCATAGAAACACATGTTCAACTTTCTACTCTTACTAAGGCCTTTTGTAGCTGCCCTTATAACTATGGTTCTCCACCAAATACCAGTGTTTGTCCTGTTTGTATGGGTTTGCCTGGCGCATTGCCGGTTTTGAACTCAAAGGTGATTGAGTGTGCAGTGAGAGTTGGCCTTGCACTTAATTGTAAGCTGTCTCTGAGTTCCAAGTTTGATAGGAAGCAGTACTTTTATCCTGACCTTCCAAAAGGGTATCAAATATCACAGTTTGATATCCCAATTGCTAGCGGCGGATATCTTGATGTGGATCTTCCAGTTGAGTTTGGCGGTGGCCATAGAAAGTTTGGCGTTACCAGGGTGCATATGGAAGAAGATGCAGGGAAGCTGCTTCATACCAACGGTGGGAGTTACTCGCAGGAAAGAACTCCTCCTTACTCATTTAAACATTCTTGTGCTCGTCATCTTCTTTTTCTATTTTCTGCCCCTTTCTTTCAGATAGCATATTCTTGCATTTATCCGATGCTTCACATTGTAATGTTTAAGTTCCATTGATGATTGTATCAAATTGTGGTAACTTATTTGTATATGTGCAGGAATGGAGTTAGATTATTTGATCTAATATACTTGTTGTTCTATTGATAAAGTATTCCTGATGGTTTCAAGATTCACTATGATACTTAGACGGATGTTGATTTATTTGGCTCTCTGTTGCAGGTTGACTTAAATAGGGCGGGAGTTCCACTGTTAGAAATTGTCTCTGAGCCAGATATGAGAACTGGTATTGAAGCCGCAGAATATGCTGCAGAATTGCAAAGGTTGGTCAGGTATCTGGGAGTGAGTAACGGGAATATGCAAGAAGGATCACTTCGCTGTGACGTCAATATCTCAGTTCGTCCTATTGGGCAGTTAGAGTTTGGTACAAAGGTTTGCATGATGTACCTGCCATCTCTTTTGCTTCCATTATGCATAGGAAATACAGATTTAAGATAGCTGGATGATTCAGCATAAGATTGGAAACTTTCTAGTTTGCTTTCCTTTGTGGATGTTTTTTTCCGTCTGATCTTGTTCTACCAGTTAGGTTAATTTTGTGTTTTAAGTTAACATAGGCTCCACAAAGAATGCTCCTCTATAATCAGTTTAATGGACAACTTGATTTAGCCACAGCTGCAAAATCAGTTTGGCCATTTATGAAATTCTTGCTTTAGCATTAAACTTAGTAAGGAACTTTACTTGTCATTCTAATGTGAAACTTGGTCTCTGGTTGGTCCCACAGGAGACATGCCAAGTTTAGTGAACATGACCTTTTATATTAGGATGAACATAATTTCATCTTCATTTAGTGTAAACCACCTTCTCTGGAGAAACATGAAACCGTAGAGATGTTTAGCAAATGAATTCTTGTTTTCTCTTAATTCCTCAAAATACATATTACATGCCATTCAAGGCTTTAAGAGAATGGCCACTTTATCCTATGTAATTGTTGCTAGAGTGACCGCGATTTTCCCATTATTGCAACTTTCATGTCAATAACATGGATTCTTCTGCCTTATGGATCATGTTTTTGCTTCATCTGGCGTTAATTTTTTAGTGTTGTTTTTCTATGTGTTGGAAATTCTCCGCATTAAGTGTTTAGCTTAATTTGCAGATCATTAAGTCAGCATTATATGTGTTGAACTGATATAATTCATCTTGCATCAGGTGGAAATTAAAAACTTGAACTCCTTCTCATCGGTGAGCAGGGCCATTGATTATGAAATTTCAAGACAGGTGCTTCTACATAGCCAAGGCCAGGTTGATCAAATTGTACAGGAAACTCGTCTATGGGAGGAAGGTGCTCAGGTATGCTAAATTTAGTTTTCATGCTACTGCAGTATGTCAGATTAATTTACTCAAGTCTTTCCATGGTAAGCTTATATGTTTAACTTTCTCATACTTCTAGAAAACAGTAACAATGCGGAAAAAAGAAGGACTTGCTGACTATCGTTATTTCCCTGAACCTGATCTTCCTGGAGTTACTCTCACCGAGGAGTATGTGGACAATATCCGTAAATCATTGCCTGAAGTTCCAGAAGCTAAGCGTCGGAGGTACGAGAACATGGGCCTAAGCATGCAAGATGTCTTGTTTCTCGCCAATGACATGAATGTAAGTGCTGCTCATCTTCTGGTTCTGATAATACTGGCCTTATGACATGTTGGCACTCCATTGCTATAATCTATCAAGCTGATGTTTTTTAGTAAGGGCTTAATCTGTGCATGAAGTGCTTCCTTCTGAAGATTTAGTTTTCTGTTTTAAATCCTTAAACAGCTACCGAGAAGCATTATTTAACTTTTATGTATACGTAAGGCCATTTAGCAGTACGTCCTTGGACATGTCTACTCCCTTTTCCCTTCTCTTCCAATGGCCCAATGAGACCAACCCCGGGGGAGAGGGTGGAAACTTGAATAAGTAAAAAAAGAGAAGTGAAGGGATAGATGCTGTTGTTCAAGAACACGTCCATCCTTTCACGGACTTTAAAGTTTTACATGCATGGATTTCCCTATTAAGTTTTTTTTTCAAGGATGTCCTGAAGCATGAGATGACTTCATCATCCTTTCTTAAAATTCCTGGACTGTTAACTTTCAAATCATGTTTCGTTTCCAGCTTTTCCCATTATTTCTTTTTGGAAATGTCCAAAATCCACTAATAATTTAATGTTTCAGATTGCAGAATTTTTTGATGCAACAATTGCAGCAGGTGCTGATGTAAAGCTTGCTGCCAATTGGATTATGGGTGATATTGCTGCATACATGAAAAATGAAAAAGTGACTATCAATGAGATTAAACTTACCCCTCAAGAACTTGGGGAGCTCATAGCTTCCATTAAAGATGGGACTATCAGTGGAAAGATTGGAAAGGAGGTAATTACATTTTTCATGCTGATATATCAATTTTTTATGAGTCACATATCATTTCTAATGTTTACTCTAAAAAGGGCAGCCCGGTGCACTAAGCTCCCACTATGCACAGTGTAACGGAGAAGGGCCGGACTACAAGGGTCTATAGTACGCAGCCTAATGTTTACTCTATACTTTGTTAATTAGAATTTTATTTTAGTTGATCTTTCTCACCATATCTAATATTTTGGGTGCGCAAGATTGGGGGTTTATCCAGTCACAAGTTAACGACCACTTTCCTGATTTTTTCTGCGAATCACAGGCCTTTCAATTGATTCCAGTTTCCTAACTTTACCTTCTCCAGAAAAATAAAATATTCAAGTTGCCTTTGAGTAGCCAGGAATTGATGTGCTGTTTCTTTTCTGTGTCAGTGCTTCTAATTGTGACATATTAGAAACAGGGTAGTTAAAGATGGAACATATATCAGGAATTAAGCATATACCCTTTTCAGACGGTAATTAGTGACGAGATATGCTATGGAGGCCTATTAAAGGAGTCTCTGTGATGGAAGCAATGTGACCCTTTATATTCATTGTGATAATCATTAACTATTGTTTCTTTATCAAATAAAGATAATCATTAACGATTGTTTGAGCGTCGGTATAACTAATTTCATGAAAGTTATTTCGAAAAACTTGTTAATGTCTGCATAGAAGGAAGAGGAAGAATCACTTGTGCATTATCAGTAGCATTCTCTATAAATGCATAATATGCCAATGGACCGCTTTCTTCACTGGTTTTACTTGGATCCACGCTGTTCATTTTATATGTTTCTGAATGATCAGTTATCATTGAATTTTACAGATTCTATTTGAGCTAATGGCCAAGGGTGGAACTGTCAAGGGACTGATAAAAGAAAAGGATTTGGTTCAGGCAAGTTGGCTTGCATTATTGCGAGGACTCTAGCTTATTCCTCTTGTCTCAATTCAATATATACAATCAAATGATTTGTTGTTCTGTTGAAGAGCTTTTAAATTATCTTTTAAATTTCTAAACCATATAACTATCACCGTTCATCAATGACTACTTGTTGTTTTCCTCATTCTGATTGGTAGAGTTAAAATGATAGGCCATATTACCTGGCTAAAAAGAGGAAGCTGATCATGAAACAATTATAGCTGAAAATACTTGAGGAGGAATATACACCCCAAATAGACACCTAGCCAATGAACTTCAGATTGCTAGAAGACTATGCAAATTAGTTTGATGCTTAATGTTATTCCAGGGATTCACAATTCACATAACAGAACCCTATTTATTACAACTTGTAGATGAAAATTTTGGTATTATTGTGCTATAAGCTTTAACTACTCCCTCGGGGTAGGGGTAAGGTCTATGTACACACTACCCTCCCCAGACCCTACTAGTGAGATTTCACTGGGTCGTTGTTGTTGTTGTTGTGCTATAAGCTTTAAAAACCTAATGACTGCTAGATACGTTACTTTATCCCAACAACAACAACAACAACAACAACCCAGTATAATCCCACTTAGTGGGGTCTGGGGAGGGTAGTGTGTACGCAGACCTTACCCCTACCATGAGGTAGAGAGGCTGTTTCCAAATAGACCCCCGGCATCCTTCCCTCCAAGAACTTCCCACCTTGCTCTTGGGGAGACTCGAACTCACAACCTCTTGGTTGGAAGTGGAGGTTGCTTACCATCAGAGCAACCGAAAAAAGAAAAAACTGACTGCTAGATTATTATTGTGCCCAGCTTGGTAAAAGCCTCAGCATTATTCCGTTAGCCTGATCTAAGAAGGTCGCAGAAAATCTACTTTAAATAGCATACAGTTCACTCTTAAAACTTCCCAAAATTATTTTCTGAAGTGTGTCGAGCTGTGTGTATATGTTTTCCGATTACACTGCCTCGAATACGGATTTCTACCATGAGCTATTGTTTCTGGAAACAAATCTTGACCGAAGATGAACTATCTATAACTCAGACTGACTGTCCTTGTGGTATTGTTTTTGAAGTTATTTGATCTAAGGAAGTGTTTGTTGTTGTCAATTTACATGACTGGCAATTGGAAACCAGTTAAATAATTGAAGCATGTACGTTATGAAAGGAATCTCATGTAAGTTTCCATTTTTTTTGGAAAATAACAGATTGTTGACACTGCGGAGATAGAGAAACTGGTAGATAAGGTGATTGCGGATAATCCAAAGCAGCTAGAACAATACCGTGGTGGTAAAACTAAATTGCAAGGTTTTTTTGCTGGCCAGGTATGTTTTCCTTTAGTTCTACTTGAAATTTATTGTTTTGACATCAAGCTGTCTAATATTTTTCACATTGGTGATCACTAGGTGATGAAGGAATCTAAAGGCAAAGCAAATCCAAAACTTTTGAACAAAATCCTATTGGAAAAATTAAATGCCACAAGCTGAAGTTGGCTTCTGTCTGATCCCGTACGAACTCTATTTAGTTCTTTCTTTTCCTGGTCAATATATGCAGTACTAGACCTTTGCTTCCATCTCTTATCACATTGCTCATGTTCCATACGCTGTGATTGGGTACTGATGAAGAAGCGGCATATTAATTGGTCATAATCTTGATATTTCAAATTAGAAGTGGAAGGACCAGAAATGTGCTTCTAGATCATTTGCATATCGTCAGCACTGAGGAAGACAAATTTAGCAGAGATAGGATAGGTCATTACTTTCGAGATTTTTTTGAACTAGTTCTTATTAAGTACAACTTTGGTATAATTTCAAACTGCCAAGCTTCTGATTTATGTACTATCATCAGGGGGAAATAAGCTACTTGTTAATGCAATTGTAGCTGCTACTCTCTTCCTTCAAGTGTAATTAAAGTATGCAGTTTTTTATGGATTCAATGTCATTTCCATGTTTCTGTTGATGAAGCTATTGTTCTAGATATTTTTTTCCTTTAAATAAGTGTAATGGGATTGAGAAGCTAACGTTAAGGTTTGCAGTTACTACGCTGGCACTGTTTGTAAGTCTTGTTCTGTTATATAACGAATTTACAGCCCCTACTTCTTGCCCCTAGCTATTATACGAGTGTTGATATAAGCTGGCCAATGAATTTCGGATACTAGATGCATGAGCATAAAAAAATATTGAGAACCCAATTTGCTTCTAAGAAAACATGCTTAAGATAAAGAGATGCAAACAAAATTAGGGTACATCACTTTTAGTCTGCACCAAAAACTATTTATCCTCGGTAGTCGAAAGTGTATAAAATCTGTGCAATTTTTGTATATGACAAAGAATGTATATATATATACAAAAAATATATATTTTTTAGCTATTATTTTGAGAGCTGCTATATAATGTCGTTTTCGTAACAAAATTCTTCAAATAGCCGAGAATTTGCACTGTGGTTCTAGCCAGGCTTTTCAAAATTCTTGAAGACCTAACTTTTCAAAATTGGGAGTCACTTGTAGGATGCATCTAATACATTGTGAAATATTATCTATCAATAATATAATTANTGCTTAAACTTACAATTATACCCTTAATGAGAAGCTTTTATAACCACACAAATACTCTGAGCCCCTTTTTGACTTGTCTAGGACCACAAATTCCAAAAGTCTTCATTTTTTCTTAAACACCGTGCCCAGTCAAACAGGTTCACATAAATTGGAACGGAGGGAGTATATAATATCATATGTATATATGGAGAACATAGAAGGTCAAAAGTTTGTTACCCTTTCAACACGAGAGGTCGACATTCATTTGGTCTTTCTAATGGCTTTTGCAAACAGTAAGAATGGCATTAAGTTTAGGAATCACAATTTTTTTGTATAAGAAACTACCCTTTTTAACATATATACATGGGTATCATATATATACGAGAAGCCTAAAAAGATGACAGCTTCATATTCTTGTTTTCTTCCTTGTTTACCGCTCCTCTACCATTCCCACAAGCCCTGGTTTTATCATTAGGAGAGGACCAACGTTGGTGGTGGTGGTGGAGGGGGCGGTTCGCGGTTGCGGTGGTAACTAATGGCCAGAGACCATATTATGGCAGATGGGAAGAACTCAACACGAAAAGTAATGGTGGTAGCCGATCCAACTCGTGAATCAGCAGCCGCTCTTCAATACGCGCTGTCCCATGCAGTCGCGGAAAATGACACGTTGATTCTTTTGCATGTTGGTAACCCTAATGCATGGAGGAATCTCCTTGGTTCTTTCATCAAGAAGCCATTGCCAAACTCAGCTACATCCTCGTCCACGTCCACGACCTCTTTATCCTCTCAATCTGAAGAAGGAAGAGGCGTACACAATAATCCACTCGGTGCTTTCTTTAAGAAATCACTAGCATCCTCTGCATCACCACCGTCGTCATCCACGCCCTCCAATGTGGCGGAAGACGGTGGTGTCAGAGAGTGTGGAGGAAAGGGATATATGGATTTTCTTGGGACAATGAAACATGCATGTGAGGCTGCACAACCTAAAATAAAGGTTTGTACAGAGACAGTGGAAATGGATGGCAATGCCAAGGAAAAGGCTTCTATCATTCTTGCTAAAGCTGCATCTCTTGGTATTGATGTCCTTGTTATAGGTCAAAGAAGGAGTCTTTCTAACGTAATACTTCGGTGAGTTTCTATTCTCTCACATTAATTACTCCATCTAATTCAAAAGGAGAACTAAAAGAAATACCCCTCCGTTTCAAATTAGATGAGGTACTTTCCTTTTTAGTCTGTTCCAAAATAAATGACACATTTCTAAATTTAAAAATAATTCAACTTTAAACATTTTATTTTACTCATTTTACCCTTAATGAGAAGCTTTTATAACCACACAAATATCATGGCCGCATAAAGCTTTTACCCCTTAAGCTTTTAAAACTACAAGTTTCAAAAGTCTTCCTTTTTTTTTTCTTAAACTCTGTACCGAGTCAAACTAGCTCATTTAAATTGTAATGGAGGGAGTACAAGATATGGTAATGTTAAGTAATAAAGGAAAGGTGCCCCGGGTTTTGGTCTAATGTAAGAGCGCGATGTTGTGACGTGTAGATTAGGCGCATGTCACAAAAAAAAGATCCGACAATAAGAGAAGGATAGAAGGACGGACTCATTATCCACTAACTTTTCAAACCACGCGCCACTAGCTTCGGGGATTTNCCACCACACACACACAAAAAAAGTTTCTTTTATTTCCCCATTCTTTTAATAGGTGTAAATTGTTTTGCATTTGTGTGGCTAGGCCAAGACGAAGTGTATCGCTAAGAGGGCTGGGGCTGGATATGGCAGACTATTTGATTGAGAACAGCAAATGCACCTGTGTTGCAGTTCAAAGGAAAGGCCAAACTGCAGGATATCTTCTCAACACCAAAACTCATAGAAATTTCTGGCTCTTAGCATAATCTTAAATATACATGTATAAAATAGTTTCTTCATTTTCCTTTTTCCACTTATAAATGGCTCGAACTCCACATCCTTCTCAATTTTATTTGGTTATCTACAAAGAGTATTGCTATGTCAATTCTGGAGTTGAAATAGAAAATAGATGTCATTTCATTCTGTTTGTCATTGGGAAGACTTATGCTATCAGAGGCGGATTTAGGGGGGCGGAAGGGGGTTCAACAGAATCTCCTTCGCCGGAAAATTACTGTATCTATACATTATATGTTGAATCTCCTTGACATAGCTTAAAAGTGTATCTCAGTGATCAAGGGGCTTCAAAACTTTGTGAGGTTGCTGCCTCGCAACCAGCCTTCGCCACTAAATGCTATGCTCAAGTGCAAGAACACAACAAGATTGTACATACATTCTCTTACTGGGCATATATTGTTTATCCGTGTCTACAATACCAAGATCAAAAACATATAACCAACGGAGTAAAAAGACCAAAGATGAAGGGACCAAGGCAAGCTGTGAATAATAGAAATAACAAAAGAACACAAAACTATGTTATTGAAATGTTGTACCAAGAAACGGAGCTTCATAGATGAAATTGCATGTAACAAAGAAAATGTACAAAACTAAAGAGAATTCAAAGTTCATCATGCATTGCTTGTTCTAAGGGTACATTTAACTCGGGTACGGGATTCATCTGAACCTGAGCAACATTTGCACCTTCTCTACCGACTCTGGGTACTATCTCCACCTGTCCAGCTGTACCAGTCTTCACAGCTTCAATGAGCTTACGCTGCAACTTGAGCAGGCCAATACGCTTTGAAACCACATAAAGAACAGCCAAGGAGAAAATAATAAATCCAACAACCAGTATCACCCTGCTCACAGATTTGTGTTATGTTGCAATAAAGGTTAAATACACTTTTAAACAACGTACTAACAAACAGGGAGAAAGTAGGATACAACAAAATTGACAGTAGAATCACAAAGAAAGGTCAACGTTATTTTATACCTGTCCAGAACGTCCTGCCGTTGCATTGTGGACAGAAGGCTCCGCGTTCGTGTTAGCAAGGAGCGGTGGCCTTTGTATTCACTCTCAGCTTTCGTTAATACCCCTGTTGATTCATCTGCAGTATCCAGACCGTGTACATTGTCATCTAGTCTCAACTTACATTCCACATTCAGGATATGAAGAATACGGTCCAAAAGTCATAGAGCCAGTCACCAGACTCATCACATTAGATAGTAAATGCAGGTATTATAAAAGTAACCATGTTGTTGTCATCATCTTTCAAGAGGTGCGTCTCTTGAACACGCCTTATCAAAGAAACCAAACCTATTCATGTACAGCATACCTCATTGGATGGGACAGATCCATTGAGCCATGTAGAGAATAACATCAATGTATTTTCTGGTCAAGTTCTTGTAACCTTTTTCCTTACACCCATTAAGCTTTTACGCTGCAGATGGTGTTTATTTATAAGGCTACTTTTACAGTGAGGTAAACATATTTAAGTGCACTTAACCTAGTACATAACCTGGGTGATCAGTCAAATAATACAACAAGACCTAGCTCTAAGTTGAGCTTTGATTAACCAAAAAAAATGGCATATATCTGAAATTGAGGTTTATGACGTTTATTTTCCACATTACTTCAGAAGCATAATCAAAAGTAACAGAAGTAGAATCTATTCAGAAGCAAGCAGGAAACTTGTCAACCCGAATTTGTTTTCGCTGCAATTACAAACTTATTCATCCTATAGAATGTTTGACACACTTCCTAATATTTGTGCAGAAAGAGGCCCCGTTATTTTTGTTGCATGGCAAGCAAAACTGCAGTTCTTTGATGCTTCTGTCAATATATCACCATCCTTAAAGAAATATCTTATATCCCCTTCAAAAAGAAAAAAGGAAAAAGGGAAGGAGAAAAAACCTTTCATCTAAATATGAACTTTTTCTTAACCATCCATCGTGAAATCAAAATCTTTTTATGAACGACTCAATAAATAGCAAAAGAACTAGGGAGAATAGCACAACGCCATCTGAAGCAACATAAAGTAAACTGATAATAAAGATTAAAGAAATATCATGCCAAGAGTGAATGTCATTCACAAAACATGGAAAGTTACTTACCAACTGTCATTAGAGTGCTTGCACTTCTTTCAACCTCCTGTAAACATAATATAAACGACAAGAGAACAAGCAGTGTTATGCAACATACAAAGCTCAAAAAAAAAATTACATGAGCAAGAAGAAAATAGGACTTAAAACCATGCAGATGAAAATAGAAGAAAGATGGCAATAACCTGAACCATAAGTTGGCGAGTGCGGCGTAGGCTCTCCGTGATGCTTTCAGATGCAGATGTCATTCCAGCTTTTGTCCTGGAAAATACATTAATAGTTTAGATATATAGCACCTCAGTTCAACAGAAAGAAACATTTTGATACTTCTTCCCCACAAAAGCGCAGCTGCGTGAATTTTTAAAGAAGATATAACCACGGCAGTATAACAACTTAAAAAGCACCACATACTGTAGATTTCGCCTGCGAACTGTAGATTCTTCTCCACCTCCCAACAGAAGCTCCCTCTGACATCATACGAAGGCAGATGTCAGCATGACATCTTTTGTAAGTATCAGGGTCAAAAGAGGAGAAATTGCAGGTGATAAGTTTTTATGTGTTTGACATCATATCCACGAAGATGACAGAGCGATATCTTTTGTGAACATCAGTCAGAAAGAAGGATAAATTGCAGGATGTTTCGGAAATTAATAATTCTGGCATGCTAAATGGAATCTCTACACAAATAAACAAATTACCTCTTCTTGAGCAGCTTTCCTCATGTTTGCCTTTGCTTGTAAATTAGCGTTTCTTAAACTCAACCTCAAGCTGAAACAGACATTTAAAAGGTCATGAAGGAAGAGGAAAGCATATAGTACTAACTGATTTCATACATGTAAAAGTGAAAATAGTACACCGTGATCACGGTTAGTGCGTAAAGAGATAATACATCCCGTGTAACAAACTCATGGAGAGCCCGAACCTTACACAAAACATGATACTCAAAGAAACGTACAAATAATGAACAAAACAATTTTTCCAAAAAAGCATATATTATTGATTCCTTATCTCCTGGAATGGAGCTTTTTCAAGAGGACAACAAACAACTATTTCTCGATCCCAAACTAGTTGGGGTTGGTTGTATGAATCCTCTATGTTAATTTCGCTTAGAACCCATTTCATTCCAATATCTATCTATATTCAGACTTAATGCAAGTATAATGAACAATAGCTAAGACATAATTACCAACTAGTTTTTTTAGCATCACATATATGGTTCCTTTACTTCGATTTTTTTGTTGTTAGCTAAATTATTCTAAGAGATTGTAGGTCTTTCCACGCACCTTGCCTGCATGTGATTTTGGATCTACCTATCCTTTTTGGCAACATCAATCACCATAATGTCGCACTTACGGACTGTAAATTCAGAGATAGCACAACCTCTCTTATTTCATCCTATATGTGTGCTACTTGCATACTTTATTTGTATGTGATAATTTCTCATTTTATCGAATCTTGTATTACTGCACATCTATCTTAATATTCACACTTTTATGATATGTCTTATGGATTATGGATATGTTGGCTCTTAGAAGCCTAGCATTCACACCCATATTAAGATATGGCATCTTTCTTCTTTAAAGTTAACTATCAAACAGGCAAGTATAACGTACAAAACGTAAATGTAGCATATGATTCTTATAAGGCAGCCTTGGCAAGTATACTGGGTTTTGTAACCTAGCAGCCAAAATAATTTCCCTCTTCAATTACCTAAAAAAATCTAGCAACTAGCAACTCTAAAGTAAAGGGTAAATAGGTTTCCTCCGGACCTTCTCTTTTGGGTCATGCACCAAGTCATATTAACAGCAGGGTTATCAAAGGCGAAAAGCGCAAAAAATCTCTAAGGTCTGTTGGGGCTTTAAGCGCAAAGCGCAAATAAAGTGTGGGCTTTAATGAAGACAGGCGCAAATGCAGAAAAACTATAAATATGTATGTGTAGTCTAAGACTAATATCTATAAGCATGAATACCAAATATATGGACAAAGAAATTGAAGAAAATTTATGATAAAATGAAATATCAATTATTTAGTGTCGCCTCTTCCGGATTACGCCTGTTAGCAAGGAAAGGTATGCCTTAGAGCCTTGATGACAACACCTACAGTGCCCGTTAAGTGAGGCGAAGCGCTCAACATATTTTGAGCCTCGCTCCAGGGCTTTAGCGCGTCTTTGATAACACTGATTCACAGTTGAAAAAACAGACTTCGGACAATACCATCTTTCTGGATATCAATTCTTCCATTATATTGTCACAACTAAGTTAATACCAAAAACCCAATTTAGTTAAATCAGTCTTCCAAACAAGCACACCCACATTTTGTCAAGTTCCACATTGTATTACCAAGTAATGATCACCCGACTCATTATCTAAAAACCAAAAAACAAGACAAATCAAAATCTTTCCTATTCCGAACCAACCTCTCACACCCAAAATCTCCGACTTCCTCACATTACTTTTCTAGTATTGGAATGAAAAATCCAAATAGTGCGGAATAAATACATACAGCCACACCAAAAATCCAAATAGTGCGGAATAAATACATACAGCCACACCCGAATACTCCTTTTTTTTGTATTTAATGATGGTGGTGTTGGGGCCAGCTTGGGCGCACCTCGACTATTCCACTGGATATCTGCTACCTTTTCTACACGGTATCATAGCATCTATCAGGAACAAATGTATGAAGTGTTTACTTTATAGCCACATTACGATTTGAGTTTCCAAAATTGTGCCAAAAATTGAAACATTTCAACTTGATCATATGAAAACAAGAAAACTTAACAATCCCCGTTTCCTAATCAACTTTGAAACCCCACATTGCTGAATTCCTTCACATTACTTTTACACACAGTATTGGAATGAAACAGTTCTAAATAGGGCAAACTGGATATTGAGAATATACTCTTCTACACAGTATCATTGTATCTAAAACAAAACAAAACGAAACAAAAAACAAAAATAAGGCTTAAAAAGCTACCTTTGGATTTGGGTTTTCCAAGATTGAGCCAAAGACTGAGTTTTTACAACTTGATCATCAAAAGGGAGTTGTGGGGCTAAGAGATCAAGCTTGAATTGGAGTGATTGAAGCAAATTCATCCCATCTTGAGCTACACCATTCAATCTTGGGAGTGAACTTTTCTCTTCTGAAATTAATCTCGTCGATTTGCCATATTCCTGAATGGAATTGATGTGTTGTTGTGTCTGTTTGTATGTTTCTTCAAAATCTTTTTTCACTTTTTCTACTTCCTCCACCACCTCGTCCATTTGGGGGTTTTGCAGAGTTGAGTCCTAGCTCTTTTAGCAAAGAAAATTTTGGGAAATTTTATGAAATGAAATTGCGAAGGAGACGAAAGATCCAAAAGAAAGCTTTGTTTAGTTCAGGAAAACGAAAGTAAAGATTAGAGAATTTGACAAAAATCATCTATCTTGTTTCGCCCTAACTTTCACTGCATCCTTATAATACTTAAACATCCTTCAAGTTTCCCAAAAGTTGACCAAAAATATTTTTCTGTTAAATTTTCCGTTTATATTTGAGAGATTCTTGTATTCTCACGTGACTTCTGTTTTCCCCCAACTTTTCCCACAAAATTTTCCCTCCTTCCTCCTTTTGACAGAGCAAAAAGCCCCTTTTGGAAAACTTGAGAAAGGGTTTCTAATGGTTGAACAATTTCTTCTTGAGCGAAGCTTCTACCTTTAAGTGTAAATTTTATAATCTCGCTGTTTACACTCCTAATCAGGGTTCCAAACAGTAAGTCTAATCTACTTTTAGTTTTTCTTGATTTTTTTATTTATAGACATTACTTCTTATAATCTTCCTCTAAAATAAATGTAAAAGTAAAGGTAAAGACATAATACCTTATTATAATATACAGTAGGTCGTGGACAAATGAACATATACATGTTAAAATAGCAGGGGACCACTTTTAAGAAAGAACCTTATGTTTCACATACAAAAATTAGCTTTTTTATTATTATTATTATATAATAAAAATTACTTTATTGGCAGATTCAATGTTCCAGAGTCAAGCAGTATATAGTGATTCTGATAATGAGTCCGATTACAGAGAGTTTGAAGATTCAAATTATGAAGATGACATTTTATTTGACAAAAATGTTGACCCTTCTATTGAAACATTTTCTGTCAATGCCAACAGAAATGCCAGAACAAATGATGATAGTGGAGAGTTTATTAGCAAAGAGTTGCAAAAGCATATGCAAAACGAAGATGGCGACTCAGATTATGTTGTTTCTAGTGAAACAAAAAGCTTGAATAGTGATAGTGATGCATCTAATGAAGATTTTAATTTTCCAAAGCATAATTCGAAGACTGATGGCTCTAATCCTAAGTTAGCATTGGGACAAGTATTTCAAAACAAAAAAGAGTTTAAGGAAGTTGTAACTACTCATGAGGTTAAAAGAGAAAGGACAGTCGAGTGGATTAAGGATGATTCAGAAAGAGCAAGGGGAAGATGTAAGCACCATCCCTCTTGTAAGTGGGTAATTCTAGCTTCAAAAATGCATAGGGATACAAATTTTCACATAAAGACTTACAACTCCGAGCATACATGTTTTTGTTGGAATGTCAAGAATAAGAATGTTACTTCCAGTTGGATTGCAAAGAAATATATGGACAGAATCAAATCAAACAGAAATTGGAAGACATCAAAATTCAGAGATGAAGTCAGTAGAGCACTGGGAGTAGACTTATCTTTATGCCAAGCAAGAAAAGCTAAAAAGAAGGTTATTTCTCTGATTGATAGTAACTTAAATGACCAGTTTAACATGTTATGGAATTATATTAATGAGATTGTGCGATCTAATCCTGGAACATCAATTTACATGGAGTTAACACCAAATGAGACCCCTAACAATCCGTCTAGATTCCAAAGATTATATATTTGTTTTGCAGCATGTAAAGAGGGCTTTAAGGCAGGTTGTAGGAAGATTGTTGGTGTTGATGGTTGTTGGTCGAAAGATTCTATGTATGGAGCACAGTTGCTTGCTGGTATTGGTTTGGTTGGCAATAACAATATCTTTCCTATAGTCTATGTCATTGTGGAAAAGGAGTGCAAGGATACATAGCAATGGTTTTGAACAATTTGATGATTGATATTGAAATAGAAGAGTAATATCTCTGGACATTCATGTTAGATAAGCAAAAAGGCCTTCTTGAAGCTTTTGAGGAAGTGTTACCAGATGTTTCTCATAGGTTTTGTGCGCGGCACTTGCACAATAATTTCAAAAAGGTTGGGTTCCCTGGTCATACGTTAAAAGATGCTTTTTGGGAAGCGTCTAGAGCAACAACTGTTGAAGCGTTTAATATATGTATGTTGAAGATACTCGAATTGGATAAAGAAGCGCATGAATGGCTTTCTACTAAGTTACCTAGTGAATGGTCCAGATCTCACTTCTCATCACTTTCCAAGTGCAACCAGAGGCGGATCCAGGATTTAAATTCTATGGGTTCAATTATAATATTTTTAGCATTGAACCTATTATATTTTTAAAGTTATGGGTTCATATCTATTATTTTACAATTTTAATGAATTTTTACATACAAATTCTTACTCCGCGTCAAAAGTTATGGGTTCAGTTGAACCCGTAGGCAGTACACTACATCCGCCTCTGAGTGCGACATGCTGTTAAACAATGTGTGTGAGGTCTTCAATAGTTTGATTCTTGATGCTAGAGATAAACCCATTATTAAACTTTTGGAGACAATAAGACATATACTCATGGCTAGGATTACAACCAATAGGGATAAAGCTGAAAAATGGGCTTCGGGTGATATTTGTCCAACTATTAAAAAGAAATTACATAGAAACATGAAGGGAGCTTCTGGTTATATTCCTCGAAAAGCCAACTCATGGAATTATGAGATCCTAGGGCCTACTGAAAATGACACTTATGTTGTGGACTTATATAACAAGATATGTAGCTGTAGAAAATGGGAATTATCAGGAACACCTTGCAAACACGCTATTTGTGATATATGGACGAAAAAGATGAGATTGTAGACTATGTTCACGACTGCTACAAGGTTGAGACATACAGGAAAGCATATACAACCATATTCCCTATGAATGGGCAAGATTTATGGCTTAAATCATCTAATCCTAAGCTATTGCCACCTTCTTATTTGAAAAAGAAGAAAGGAAAGAAACATAGATTAAGAAAGAAAGAAGTGGATGAGCCCGGAGCCTCGAGGACCAGGATAAAAAGAAAACAAAATCAGTTGATTGTAGCAAGTGTGGTAGACCTGGCCACAACAAAAGAACTTGCTCTTATATAATGTTGTTGAACCAGAACCAACAAACTGCACTTCATTTTTGGACTATATTACGGTTGAGAACACAGCAAGTTGGACGCAAGAATCTGCCCATTTTCGTGACAAACTTCCGGTGAGATGCATATATCAATATTGTTTGTCTTACTTCACTGTAATGAAAATCATCTATCTTAAGGTCCTCTTATTCCCTTTTCAGGTTAGAAGAGGCCAGTAGCATGAATGTGCCAAGTTGCATAGCATCGTAGATGTGACAGTCGTTTCCATTTTGTTCATTTTGTAATGACAGGATTTATTTTGGAATGACGGAAGTTTATTTTGTAATGTGATGACTACTAAGTGAATTAAGTTCATTTCATACGACTCAATTATGAAGTTTTCAGACTTTAATTATTTACATGTTTCAACTTTTGGCATTTGGTATTTTTGTAAGTAGTTTTCTCTTTTTTCACTTAATTTTCAGTTTCTGCATCATAATTTATTGCAATCTGCACTTTTTCTGCATTATGTGCATATTTTCTAGTTTTTGCATATATTTCAATTTCTGCACTATATTTATCTACATTCTGCACTTATATTTCAGATTCTGCACAGATCATGCACTATATTTTTTTTGATTATTATGCACTTAAATTTCAGTTTCTACACATATTTTTCATTTTCTGCACTATATTTTTCTTGATTCTGCACTTAAATTTTAATTTTTGCACATATATTTTATTTTTTGCACTATATTTTGCTTAATTCTGCACTTATATTTCAGTTTCTGCACAACAATATATTCCATTCTGCACACATTTTTTGATTTCTGCACCAAATTTTGCATTTTTATTAATTTCTGCATACATTTTTCAATTTCTACATACCAAAACTGCACATTATTAAGTTTTCGCAGACCAAAATCTGCATATTTTTTAGTTTTTGCACGCGATTCTCTACCCTAATATAGGAAAAAGGCGCTGAAATCAATTCAAAAGGTTCACATTCTACAAAAGAAAAAATTGTAGGAAAAAGAAATGAGAAGTTTTGATTGATCAGTAATCGGAAATCTGAAACATGAAAAGGATATAGAAATAGCAAATTAGAGAAAAAATAATTTTTAATTGATTTCACGAGAAAAAGATGGAGAAAATTAAAGACTAAAAAAGATGCAACACACGTTTGTTAAGAATGAAGAGTTCACTGAAGTTGGAAGGCTCTCTTGTAATGAACTAGTATGGATTAGATTGTAACGTTTGAAGGCGGAATTAGGAAAGTGGAGATAGGGTATTGCTATAATGGGGTGTAGAAGCTTCTATAGGCTACATCTTTGGGCTAGTATAAATGAAGACACATTGGGCCAAATTAATAAGAAAGTCGATGGCCCACTTGTAGCAGCCCAACCAACATTAACAAACAATAAATACACAGTTGGAAGAGGGAAGCATCAATCAATTTCCGGTAATTCCGTTACTTCCTAACAAACTCCTTCTCTTTTCTAGCTTCAAACAATTTATTCCCTGAGATGGCAGAGTTAGTATTGCCTTCCTTTAGGATAAAATTAGAAGCTCTACTCCCTGAAGTACCATGAGTCATACTATACTGACTAGTGCCCCTTCCCACACTTCCTTTATTCTTTCTGCTTACTGCTTCTAGTAACTCTTCTTTGTGTCTAGCTTTCTCAACTGTCTGGCTTAAAGAAAAAGGGCCCAACATCTTAACTATGTGTCGAATTTCTTCTTTAAGCCCTTCAATGAAGAACCCTAGAAAGAACTCCTCAGGAATGGTAGGGTGCTTAATCAATACCCAAGTCTTAAGGTCTTCAAATTTTTCTAGGTATTCTGTCACACTCCCCACTTGTTCAATTCTTTTAAATCTGCCTAGCAAGTTAAGATTACTATTGTCTAAATCATTGAATCTTTTCCAGATTTCCTCCACAATGTCGGGCCATCTCACCACACATCTACTAACTTGGTATGAAAAGTACCATGACTCAGCCTTTCCATTTAAATGAAGAACAGCAGTTTTAAGTTTATGCTGAGGATCAGAGATGTGATTATAATGGAAGTACCTTTCACATTTCCTCAACCACGACCTGGTATCATCATCTTCAAAGTATGGACAGTCTACCTTTGAAGCAGAGCTTCTCGAGTGGTATCTCCCCATAGGCTGCTCGTGCGGCTCCACCATTCTTGCCCTGCTTCCAGAACCTTCCACCTGAAGATTTCCTGAAGGCACACTTCCCAGAATTCCATCTTTACTAACGAAGATTTTATCCATCATTATGTCAAACTTGTGATGTAAATCATCCATTTTTTTAGTCATTGGACTCTAGATTTTTATTCGTCTCTGACATGTAATTCTGTAATTGATTCTCCAATTTCTTTATGTTTTCTTCTGTAGCTTTAGCCCTAATTTCTGGTATTGTCATGGTGTCAGGACTTGCTATGATACCAAATCTGTAATGAACTAGT